GGGTTCAGGAAGAGGTTTTCTCAGCACCGTGCATCTTCCTAGGGTAGGCCCGGGGGCGGGGGGGGGGGTCCGTCCTACCCCGGTATCACCACACTGTTTTTGGATACACTCCGCACTCCCTCCCCGGGGACCGAGCACAGCTCAGGCCCCAATCTCCAGGTTCCCGCATCCACTCTTGCCGAGACCCTTCTGATGCAACACGCACATGTCACCTTCCCCAGCTGCCTGCTCCAGGTGCTGAGGGTCCTCCGCGTCTGGAAGCAGAGGAGGTCCCGTCCTCCTACCTAAGAGACAGGCTAAGCAGGAATGCTAGGACTGCGCCTTCTAACCTGCAGAGGCAACAGGGTGACAACGAGGTTAGCTTCCAGCCGTGCTCTCCCTGTGCGAAGGGCCGTATGCAAATAAGGTGACTTTCCAGGAATTGTTTGATTGGACTAAGCATTCCACAGAGCAGCCAATGATAATCCTGGGCTGCAGAGGGCCTTCAGACCTTTGGTAGGCGCAGTATCCACAGCTCTGTATAAAGTCTTTGTGGCGCACCCTGTCGCATTGTGAACCCAGGTTCGTGCAATCCGCCGCTCCAGGCGGTTCCGCTCCCCTATTCCTTCTACCACCCCTCTTCTACCACCCCTGCTTCCTCTCTCACGGAGGCAGGGATCTCGAAGGGGCCGGCTTGATCATCGCATGCAAGGTCGCAGTAACTGGTGGCCAGCGATGGCAGGTGATTTTGATTACCCGTACATCCTGCAGCAGGCCATCCACCTGCAACAACTAGGAGATTGCTAGGCGCGTGGCCGCTTTGTCCAACATCCCGGCCTTGGAAGACAGAGAATCAACCACCACAACACCTAGCTAGGCAACTGGGGATCTGGAGCCCGGGTACCAGATAAACAATCAAGAGGGGAGCTGCTGATGCCTCCTTTCCTCTCCCCCAGGCCTTTGTGTCTTTGGACCTGACATCCCAACGTGAAGCTTGGTATCTGAATTAGCCATTGCCTTGGTTTTTAGGGACGAAAGAAGGAGCCCCCACTGGCGGAAGTAGGCTATCTGAATCTGCCCCAACAGTCACGAATTGTGCTCCATGGCTTCTGCTTTCTTTTACCACAACATTGTCAGTGGACAGGGATGAATAATTGTAGAATGAATTTCTCCAGCTGAGGGAATGCTCTTCGAGCGGAAGTCATTCGCTGGGAAGCACATGTGGTCCTGTGGGTGTGTTAGCCCCCTAGGAAAGTTAACCCCAGGGACTCATCCAGCCCACAGAAAGAGGTGCTGAGAAAGTGGGCTCAGTGCTGGCTTCTGCTGGGTCCAACCCTCGTGGCTTATTTAGTCCTTCTTATTAATGTCTCTTTCAATCTCTGTCCAGAAAGTAATATAAAACTCATGCTAACTGATCTCCTTTTCCTGTGCTGTGATGTAAACTTCACAACTGGAAATCCCAACCTAATGAAGCTCTTGGTCTTTCAGAGAGGCTGTGGCCTGAGTAAAGACCAATTTCCATGTACAAGTGAAATTATGGTTATTTGTCTTTCTGTGCCTGCTCTACATTACTTAACATAATGTCCTCCAAATCATCCAGATGACATTTTCCTTTTTATGCCTAACTAGTCCCAAAGTATTTTATCCAGCTGCTGTTCAGTTCCTTGTTTTGGAATCTGCATTTGTTACCCATGATAATTGTGATGCTGTGAATTGTTTGGCTTTTGTCCCAGTTTCTTACACTGCAACTTTTTTTTTTTTTTTTTTTTTTTTTGTACCAGGGATTGAACTCAGTACCTTGTGCTTTCCAGGCAGGTGGCAGAACCACTGAGCCAAATTCCTAGTCCATACATTGCAACTCTTAACAATCTCAGGAATCTTCAGACTGGCTTTTGTGTGCTAATGAGCTGGCCACTGGCCAGCAGCTCTGGGTGGCTTCAGCATGGGCCTGTCACTGAAAGACCAAGGCAGGATCCCAGGGTTAGGACTCCCAGCCCGCCTAGCACTGACCCCCACATGTGATCGATATGTCAGATGCCTCTTCCTCCAAGTCCCCTATACGAACCCCTGTCTTTTGTCTGTTAAACACTGATGGGCCTCTCATCCTCAGGCTACCTCCACCCTAGTGAATAACACCTGTGCTTCTTTGCTTTCCACTAGCCCACTCAGGTAGTCTCATACCTCTGCCATTTGTCACAGTGGGGACCCACTTTATAGGCAGCTGGGGTGGGGGTCAGAATCCCAGGTGAGACTGCCTGGGCTTGTGGTGGGATTTGAGGTGGGGGCCCGCACTGGGCTAGAGCTCCCAGCTGTGTGTGCTGTGGTCTATAGGTAAGCAGTGAGCAGCCTGGGTGGGATTAGAGGATGCCAGCTGGTATTCCCTGCAGAGTTGCTTGCTAGCTAGTGGGGAAGAATCTTTAAACTTTTGGGGTACACAACCCTCCAGTGTTGATTGCTATAGTATAGAGCTAGGAGAAGCAGACAGTTAGCTTTTCCATACAGTAGTGTAATAATATTACAATCCCTTCACGTGAGTGGCTCATTGTTGTCAGAACACTTAGTGCTTTATGTATGTTTCCATTGGCAGTCTCTGAAATGACCATTTCCATCCATTTTGCAGAAATCCCACAAGGCATTGATTCCAGGACCCCACACACACCAACATCTGCAGGTGTAGATGCATTGGTGTTCAGAGCCTGTGATGACACAGATTGACTGAGCCTGCATCTGTCTGTGTGGGTCCACTTCTGAGAGTGTCCCCGTGAGGCCAAGGACCAGGTACTTCAGATGCTTTGATGCTTCCACTAACCTTTCCCCTGCCTCACACACTAGGACAGCAGGGATGCTGGCCCAGTTTTCATGATGAGAAACTGAGGCTGTGGATTAAGACGCCCAAGACTGCAGCCACCCCAGGGGATTTCCTGTCCAGCCAGTTCCCTTTACAGGGTAGGCTTTGAATAAGAGCACCTCTCAAGCACAGCTGTTTAACCCAAACTGATTTGAGCATCTTTGAACCCACATGGGGAAAAAGAGCATTTTTATTTTCAGTAACTAGGTATAATTCAACATTCCCTCCAACCTTGAGTGCAGGCAACAAACCATAGTAATATTGGTAGAACTCTGTCTCTGTGACCAACACAAATCACAGATATTGTTATGTGATGACATTTGTAGGTTTCTCACTTCTGCTCACCATTACTGCAAAATTGTGGCAATGATTACCTTTTATTCAGAAATAGAGAAGCACAGTGTTTGTTTTACTAGACATTTCATCCTTAAAATATTTTGACAACTATTTTAATAAACTGGCATCTTTTTAGTGTCACATCTTAAAAACAACTTTGTTTAAAACAGTATTCTGAGAAGGTCTCAAGATACCCTGGGCTGTCAGAGCACCCAGGTTCTGAGGAAGTCCTTGGGAGACAAGATGCAGGTTCTGGTGCTGATTTCTCATGTTGCTAACAGACATAAGAGGTGAAACAAACAAAACCTTCTCTTGAACCTGTTAATTCCTACCATCTCTAATATGGTCCAAAGAAAACCAGAAACACCTGCTTCCCTGGGTGAAGCTTGGGAATGGAGGCCTCTCAGCCCTGCCCCATCACACTAGATCCCCTTCCATTTTAATACCGTCCTGCAAACTCAGTTTGAGAAGCCACTTGAAAAGTTCAGCTAGTATGAGAACTTCAAGGCCCAACGTTCCCCACTGGAAAGCCCCTTCCTGAAATTACAAGCAGGACATCCACAGCCAGAGGCTGCAGCTGTGGCCCATTCCCAACTGGCAGGATCCCACCAGGGCCTTTCTAGAATTTGGGGTGCACCATCCTGAACCCAGGTGCCTTGGTGGAGGGACCAGATATGAGGAGGGTCAGGAAGCCCAGGTAGGTTCTCACAGGGCACTCCTGCAAAATACTGAAGAACCCAGGCCCAGAACCCAGGAAGGAACATCCAAAAGGACATGGTCACTGTGCTTTAGGAGCAACTCTCGGACCAACTGAGCCATACAAACACAAGGTTCAAATACTTGGCCCTACACAGCTCTCTGGGTTAGAAAAGGTGTGTTCTTTGCTACACCATTTACAGTTTACATCTGGATTTAGGAAAATAAACCACAAAGTGTGCCACAACCTGTTAACAGAGATATTTGCCTTTCTGAGGGTTTCTGAGCATGGCCTCTCTTGCAGGTTATAGGCAGACAGCATTTTCTGAAGCACTTATGGATGTTATAAATACAGCACTGCTGATTTCATGTTACCATGTCAACTGTGTTATAATTATTTTTGAGAATAATTTAATTTTCAGATTATTCTATTGATAAAAGTAAATCATATCTCCAAAAATTGTTTACCACAGGAAAAAAAAAGCCTATATAATGAGTATTGATTGAAAGGAATAAAATGACATAAATAACATTTTAATGTGAGTTTTTAATTTTACATTGAATAATACTCTTCTTCCTATCATACATAATTTTTTATTAACAAAAAAGTTTCTAAAGCTCAGCTGGCCACCAATACCTCCTGCATTCTTTACACATACTTCCTCTGTCTTTCCCACCAAGCACACAGTCCTTTCCCCTGAACATTGCTGCTCTTTCCAAACCTCGCTTGCAGTGATAGACTGCCACAAAAGTCAGGGACACGGAGAGACACAGACATCTGCTGAGGAGCAAGAAGCCGGAGGATTCTGAGTGCTTGATAAAACATTTGGTAAGTGGTATTCACTTCTTACTCTCTCTCTTGTCATTACTCAATCCAAACACTAAAGTGGTTAAGGACAAATTTAAATCTCAGGAATATAAAAGATGTGACTGAAAAATATGGTGAATGTTTAAATATAAAAATCATTACAGTAAATGACACATTGCCATGAATCCCTTTAAAAAATACACCTGCTCACTTCAAACACATTTATCCATCATCCTTGCCACTTCCTGTACAACTCCAGAAGTCCTCTTTTGTGTCTTTAGTTGTGCTATTGTGGCTACCTTGATGTCTTGAATAGATTCAAAATGTTTATCTTCATAGTCATTTTGACTTAGGGTAAGAACCAGAAGTCCCATGGAGTCAGATCCAGTGAATAAGGCTTATGAGGGCACACTGCCATGTTTTTAGGAGCTGCCTTTCTGTTGGATGGTGCTCAGCAGCAGCATTTATTATCTGTCATCACACCTTATAAAGACTCAGGGAAGATGACTTCAAGAATGTATTCATAAAGTGCCAGGATTGATGGAAGAAGTATGTTCAAAATGAGGGGAAAGATTTTGAAAGGATGAATGGCAGGATTTTTTTTTATGTAATACAATTTTTAATTTAAACATTATACATTTTTAAAAACTATGCTGCAATGGAGCAAAAAATCTAGTGGAAAATAACTGGTAGTCACTGGGCATTTTGCAGGGCAAATGAAGAGTGGGCACCATGAGGCAAGGAGGGCTCTGTAATAGGAAAGGGAAACACTGTAGAGTGTGAGGAAAAGACAGGCATCCTAGCACTCAGGGAGGCTGAGGCAAGAGAATTACATGGCAATTTAGCAAAGACCCTGTCTCTAAATAAGAAATCAAGAGGTCTGGGCATGTAGTTCAATGCTAAGATCCTGGCTTCCATCTCCAGTACCTACAAGAGAGAGGGAAAGAGTGAAAGACAGTGAGGGTAGAAGGTTGTGGTGTGGCAGACCCTTTCTGGCTTTCTTGTCTGAATTCCGTGAGATTATGGCCTAGGTCCCATGGTGGGGTCAGTGACCAGACAGCTGGTAAAGCTCCTTGCTGGGCCCCTCCATGATGGTGTTAGCATTAGAGTCAGGGAAAAGTGATTTGTGGACAAATGCCTTGCTTTCTGAGGGCCCTCATTTGGACTTTGGGCTCAGGACACACACCTGGGACGGGGTTTTGGCCCTTTAGGCATGGTGACATCAGGGCAGGTGAGGGACCTCTCAAAATATCCTACCCTATTGGACAGGAATATCCAAAATATTCTATGTCCTACTAGATAATACTGATCTGGGCCCTGGCCCCAAATCCAGTCCTATTCCAATGATACCTGATACCCAGCAGCCAGTTCTGTGGCTCCATCCTAAAGAAAAAGGACAGAGCTTCCTGGGTTCTCTCTTGTCTTTTGGTAAAGCCCAACCCAACAGGTTCCAAGTGCTATCATTGGTACCTAAGGGTAGTGATGCTTTCATGTAGCTGTCAGCAGTTTGTATGTCTTCAGAAGAATATCTATTCAAGCCCTTACCTCATTTTAAAATGGGATTATTATTATTATTGTTATTGTTACCACTGGCTATTGCTGAGTTTTTATTTAGCCTTAACAAAGGAACTCTTGTCATTTATCATCACTTGGATGAATCTGGTGAGCGCTGTGCTGAGTATAATAAGCCAGGCACAGAGAGACAAATAGTTTATGATCCCACTTTTTTTTTTCCAGCTGGGCAGACTTTATTCCAGGCAGGGCAGCAGTGATACCCTGGGGGGCAAGGGGCCTCAGAACAGGAAGGGGATGATGGGCATTCTCAGGGATGGGTAGACTCAGAACTCCTTCAGGTAGCTTTGGTACTTGCCCTTGGCCCAGATGGTCATCTGCATGAAACCCACCAGTGAGAAAAGGGCCACTGGGAGGCACTGCATCATGATGGTGAAGCTGATCTAGGACCCCACATCATAGATGTAGTTGGGACAGGACACCAGCAGGAAGAGCCATGTGAAGGGGTTCTTGGTGGGGTATGGGATCTTCCTGGTCTTGGATTCAGCTGGCCGCAGGTCCTGCAGGGCCATGTGGATGGAGAAGTTGCCCAGCTGACAGATCACAAAGATGGCCAGTTCGAGTTTAACCTGCTGAGCTGTGTAGGTGGGGTATGCGTAGAGAGGGTGGTTGGTTTAATAGGCCATCCATGCAGCCAAGCCCCAGTAGTGTTTTTTGGTTTTTTCTTTTTTTTTTTTTTGGTTTTTGTTTTTGCTACTGGGGATCGAACTTGGGTCCTTGCACTTGTGAGGCAGGCCACCAAACTGCTGAGCTAAATCCCCAGCCCAGCAAAGCCCCAGTAGTAAGTGCAGTTCTTGAAGATGTTTCACAGGGGCATGGTACCATGAGAGAAGCAATGCATGAAGAGCATCTCCAGCAGCTGCTTGACATGGTGGAATGAGTGGCAGATTCAGGTGAGGTGCACCACTGAGTGCTGACTGGAGTGAAGTCATATTTGTGACCTTATATAAAGGGGACTGGGAAGTAGAAAAGCAGGTAGATGAACAAGGGCCCAATGTACTCCATCAAGAAGACCATCACCCAGCTGATCTGTGCCCCAGGTCCCAGAAGTACAGTGTGGCTGTGGTACCCACAGGCAGCTTCTGCAGGACAACCTCGTCCTTCAGGGATACTCCTCTGGCTACAGGCACAGGGGCTGGTGGGATGGGTACCACTGAAGGTGGGTCTTGGTGAAGAGGTTCTTAATCTCTGCAGTGGTGGCCTGGAGCTCTATCTTGTCCAGAAAACACAGCTTTTCCCTTGTCTTTTTGTCCAGAATCTCTACCTCTAGTGCTTCATGGCTCTTTCATTTGGTGGTTCCCACTCTGGGCTGCTTCTGGCTACTTGCTCAACACTACAGAGTTGCTCCTATGATCCCACTTATAAGCAGTTGAAGTCATAACAGGAGAGAGCCAAGTGGTGGTATCCAGGTCTGAGGGTAGGCAAGGGTCAACCCAGTAACAAGCCTAATCTACTATAACCCTAATCTGTTTTCTCTGTTGAACAGCTGGTGTGGTTTCTGTCCTACTGAACTCTGACCATTGTCCCGTGAGGAGCAAGGGTCACAGGTAGGGACTTCAGCAGCACAGCATAATGCTGACAGCATAAATCCTGGCTTAGGTACTTCAAGTTGCTCATAAGCAGACCTGAATATTCTGACACCAAAATTAAAATAAAGAAAAACCCTGATAATAAAAGAGGCAGGAGGAGAATTTTTTTGTATTGTTTGCCTATGTTTGCCACACAGAATATTTACATGCATTTTGGGAAATCGGTACAGATATAAATATTATCTTGGTCATTTGCCATCCCCCAACTTATCACTCTCACCCTTCCCCTGATCCCCTTCCGCATCTCCAAAAATGTGCCTCTCTGTTTTTTACCATCTCTCCTTTATTTTACTCTTTATTTATATTTTGGGATTTTCATGAAAGAGATTTTCATGAAACTATGTGATATTTAGTTTTCTGCATCCATAAAAGGTAAGAAGGGGTTATCATGTGATCATGTCACATAGAAAACCAAGATAACATGGTAGTTCTAAACTCTGTGCAACAACAAGCTAAAAGGACCTCTTATCCCAAATTAAGAGCAATAAGGAGTGAAAAGCAAAACAAATCAAAACAAGCTGGAAAGGGCAGGGCATTGGTTGCCTAGGGTAGAGTCTGGGGGCAGGGATCAAATTACAAGATTCGGGAGAACCTTTAGTGAGGAACTGTCCAAGCTCTTGGTGGTGTTGCTACATGACTGCATATGATGACCCCAAATCATTGAACTGTACCCTTAAAACTAGCAAATTCATTTCATATAAATATCACACTAATAAATAAAAAGAGGAAAGAACATTTTAGAAATGTAGCACCTTGAGGATGCAGTACAGTATGGTGACAAGGAGGCTGAGACTGCAGGGTGGTAAGTGTGAGCTCAGCCTTGTCAACTTAGCAAGATCTTATTTTAAAATAAAAAGGGTTTGAGATGTAGCTCAACAGGAAAGCCTTGGACTTAATCTCTAGCAAGGGCTTTTCTCTAATCTTCTTCTATTTCTGTCCATGCAAATCCCAGCTTTTCTCTAAAGTCCAGCTCAGGGACACCTGTTTTCATGATATTTCCTGGCCACTCCACCAACCAACCACATCTGTACCCTTGACCCTTAGCCTGAAACACTAGGACTTCCTGTTTTTTGCATACAACACTGAGAAGATTCTACATGGCCCTTGTTCTTCCAGACCTGGGGAGAGGTGTGACAGAATCACTCAGCTCCACACTGGCTGCAGTGAGCTGAGTGTGGGCCCCCAAAATATGTACAAATCCCAACCTTGGCACCTGTGAATGGGAGTTCTTTGAAAAGCAGGTCTTTGCAGACATAATTAAGGCATGAATCTCAAGATGATATCATCTTGCCTTAGGCTAGGCTTGAAATCCGATAATGTGTCCTCCTAAGAGAAAGGATAGGGAGAGTTTAAAGCACAGAGATATGCAGAAAACAGAGATTTGATTCTACTACAAGTCTAATCTGTTTTCTCTGTTGAACAGCTGGTGTGGTTTCTTTCCTAACTGAACTCTGACCAATGCCAAGACAAACCTGCAAATCATGGGGTCTTTGGCTTGTCTTCTGCATGGCTTGCGCTAACCTGTCATGCCTGAAAGGGAGAGAAAGGATTTGAGGTTGACCACATGTCTGAGTGGTTTCTGGGAGGAGTAATAGAGGGCAACAAGGAGGGAGAGGAGGAAAATGAGGGAAAGGAGGGGGAGAGGGGAGGAGGAGGAACAGAAGGGAGAAGGAGAAGGAAAGAAGAGGAGGAAGAGGAGGGAGAAGAGACGAAGGGAAGCCTTTCCCGTTGGCTTGCAAATGGCTTCTCTTTGAGTCCTCTTAGGGTCTTTCTGCTGTATGTACCTATGTACTAATCTCTTCTTCCTGAGAAGGTACAAGATGGGGTTAGGGTCCATCCAAATGACCTAGTTTTACCTTAATCACCTCTTTAAAGGCCAGTTCTCCAAAAGCAGCCACATTCTGATGCTCTGGGGGCCAGGACTTCAGCATATGGATTTGAGAAAAGAGGCACAATTCAGGTCCTGAGGTGTTTGCATTATTTTACACAGGCTATAATAATCATCACCAGAGGAAGGAGTAAGGAGAATGCAGGTGCTGCTATCTACCTAATAGACACCTAGAAGTCCCCCGAGGAAAGTTAGAGGCTTGGAGTGGGATGCCAATGGCTTCCTGCCTCTCTCTGGCCACTGAGCAAATGGTTAGGGGCCTGGGGTCATGGGCCCAGAGGCAGAGGAATGGCTGTAGGGGGCCAGAAAAAGTCAGTCCACGGAATGCATAGACCAGAGAGCCATCAGCCACATTGTGGAAGGAGATCTCCCCTGCATCCCAGTCCAGGAAAATGCCCACCCTGTGGAGGGGCTGGGATGGACAGAGGTGAATCCTGGGCCGGAATCTCCTCTTATAAAGCTCCACTGTCCAGAGGCCATGCTGGGGGCCTTGGGCACCCTGCCCTCCCGACCCACAGTCTCCAGGCACATGCCCAGAATCCAGGCCTTCCGGTCCCCGACCTCGACCTCCCAGTAATACCTCGCAGCCCAGAATTGCTCTTAGGCCAGGATGCAGGGGTCCTGCTCAAATCTCTTGGCGCTAGGGGGCAGGTCTTGGTTGAAGAGCAGCCGCCGCACACTTTTCTGATCCTCAGACACAATGAGTTTGGGACTCCTGGTGTCAGGGTCCAGGGATGGGCTCACTGTGGAAAGAGAGGCTTAGGCCCTGAGCTTGTGCTTCCCTGTCCCCGCATGTGTCCCCTCCATCTCTAGGCTGCCTTTGCTGTCCCCATGTCCTGTGCCAGGAGCCTATTCCAACAGCAGGGAGACACACAGACAGGAGGCTTGCAAGGTCCCAGAGGTGGGTGAGTGTGATAGTAGGAACGACCAGCTCACGTCCCAGTTTGCTGGTGTGTGTACTGAGCTTGCTCAGGGGATCTCAAGTCCTGTGTGTGAAAGCGGCAGAAACACAGAGACAGAGATAGAGACTGAAAGACAGGGTCAGATGAATGAGGCAAAGTTACAGAGAGATAGGGACTGAGACAGAGAGAAGCAGATACAGAGAGATACAGAGGCAGATTGAGACAAAGACAGATACAGAGACTGAGAGACAGAAACAGAGACAGAAATAGAGCAGAGGTAGATATGAGGCAGCAATGCAGAGAGAGATGTAGAGGCAGACACAGAGAGAGATGGCCGTACAGAGACAGAGACAGAGACAGAAAGACAGGAGTTGGAGATACACAGTGAGTGACAGAAACAGAAAGGTCAGAGACAGTCCAAGAGACAGTGAGAGGAGTGACGGCCAGGGTGGTGTGGCCACAGCCTGCCATGTGTTCCATGCGACTTCTCTCTCGTCTAGACGGCTTCAGGAGGGCTTCGCCTGTCCAGGTGCTGAGACAAACATTTTCCAGAAAGACCACTTCTTCAAGGAAGCCTTTTCCCTTTGACCTGCGTCCTTTGGTGCACCTGACTCACTGCTCAAGCTGCCCTCTAGGGGCAATGTGGCAAAGGAAGCAGGGCCAGCCTGGAGTCCACCTGCTCCATAGCCCCTTTCCCAACACTAAGATCATATCCAATTGCCCCTCTGATTCTGTGGCTGCCTGGGTGTCCCTTGGGATTCTCAGGTACCCCACCATTTCCTTAACGTGAATGCCTGCTAGAGTTAAAGATCCATGATCTTCTGCGGTCACACCTCAGTTTTCTCCCCAGATGCCTCCTTTTCTCCTTTCAGAAGGGAAACCCTGCTCCCCTTTCCCTTTTAGCAGGGACTGGACTGTTTGCTTGCTCTTCCCTTAACATGCTTGTTTCCCCTCCATATTTCTTTTCCTCTTCGCTGCCCTGCCTTGTCTTCTCCCCTGAGTTTGAGCCATAGGCTGGAGCTTATTCATGGTTCATTTCCATTGTGGCCACCTCTCTCCCTTTACATTTTCCCACCATTCCAATTCTCTCACCTGTCAAAAAATGTGTTTCACACTTTAAAGTCTCTGCAAAGGTTCTCAGCACAGAGAAATGTAACTGCTTCAGGAGACAAGAATGTCATGACTCTAATTTGATCATTACTCATTGTAATATGTATCAAATTACTGGCTGCACACTAGAGATACAATTTGTACAATGTTGTGACAGTTAAAAATTATTAGACTTACCAAAAGTTGCAGAAAGAGCATAAAGAAAATAAATATGACATCTTGCATAACCATAGTAAAATGATTGAACCCTAAATTAACATTGACACAGTACTGTGCAGTGACATTACAGAACCTACAGACCTTGCTCAGATTTGCCCCTGCCCTCCTATACCCTCCTGATTGGCCCTTTTTACATGTGGCAGTGTTGCCTCTCTTGGCACCTAGATCTCCCTTAGCAGAGTGGCTCTTCTCTACAGTCTAGGTTAATGAGATAATTTCCAGAAGCTTGAGCCATGGTCTTTGGTAACACAGCCTCCATGTGCCAGGTCTTAACAAAGCAGACTTCCCCTGGCATCTCCTACTTGGAGGAGTGTGTTGCTGCCAACTGTGGTCTCTAGGGCTGCTAACATTTGACTTCCACAGGGACGTGGATGCCTCTCACCAGCATTTGACATAGCATTTCTGGTTTCCAGAACAGACAGGAATCCCTCATATATACATGTGCACACACACACATGCCTCCACACAAACACTTGCACATACTCTTGCATACACACTCAGGCAGGGACTCATATGCACACAAATATACAAATCTGCACACACACATACACATATGCCCATGCATGTACAAACACTCATGTATATGAGCACACATACAACATGCACATATATGCACTTACATTCACACATGGACACATATGCATATCTGCAGGTATACAGACACGCACATATGCACATCACACACACATAGACATGCCTATGAACACAGCATGTCTGTATGTACATGCAGGAATGAGCATCAGGAAGCAAACCAGAGACACATGTGCTCTAGATTTGACTCCTGGCGGCTTTCACCTATCCCTCCCATCATTCCTTTGAGTAACTGGACTTTTCACATAAATGTGTGAGGAAGAGAAACTGAGATTCACATGCCATTACAACTTCCTGCCCCTTCCTTTTCCCTTGAGACCAGCTGTGATCGCAGGGACCCTAGCATAAGCACCCCTGACCCGTTCATCCCTGCCAGATGCACCTAGATCTCAATTTCTGGATCCCTTTGTCTAGAGGGAACTGAGCCAGGGGTGAGACTCAGAGTTCTCTGTGATGTGATGGCTCCAGACCTCAAAACACAGCCCTCATTGTGCATGAGTGCCCCCTTGCAATACTCAATGAAACCAAAAGACATGGTATAGTGAAGTCTTGCTTATCAAGAAGGGGCCAGAAGGCCAGGGACTTAGCTCAGTGGCTCTGGTGCCTCCCTTGCAAGTGCAAGGTTCTGAGTTCAATCCCCAGTACAAAAAAAAAAAAAAAAAAAA